TTATATCAAATTCATGCAAATAAATATATTTTCACATATTCATTATAATTTATATATGTATATCTCATAGGCATAATATGTATATATATACACACACACACACCATGTACATATCTTAGATAAATATATATATATATATAGATAGATATAACTTAATTTTTATCACCCTCTTACTACACCAAACTACTCTCACTATCTTTCTATTTAAGTTTAAGTTTAAGTTTTTTATTTAAAATTAAACAAATTTAAAATATATTTATTTTAAATATTATGCATATTATTCTAAATTATTAAGTAAAAAAATCACAGAATAAAAAAAAAAAAGAACTCTTGTTTGAATGTTCAAAAAAAAACATATGTGAAATGGGCAGTCTCAATGGTTAGGTTACCCGCAATGTCCCCACTCAACCTTCTTCTTCCCTCTACCTCACCAAACGTCCCAATACACACACACACACTCTCTCTCTCTCTCTTCTCTTCCCTTCCCGTCTCTCTTCTCCCTCTCGTCCCTATTCTTCCTTTCTTCTCTTATTTTTCTTTTATTTGGTGGATTGAAAGAGAGGGAAAAAATATTTTGTTTGGTATTTATATGATGGGGGAAGGGATAAAGATGAAGAGGTGGTTTAATTAGATGAAGTGACAATCTAGGAGTGGGAGGGAATCTTCCCATCCATGTACATGGTGGCCATGTGGCCACCCCTATCCCATTTCTTAATTTTTCCATGTTACAATGTCACATGCACTCTCTCTTATTTTATTGATCTTTTCTTTTATTTTGAATTTTTAATTCTAATTTATTATTTTTCTTTTTTTTTTTAATTCTTATATTCATTTTACAATATTTAATTTAATTATATTACAAAATTTAATATTTTCTAATCAATTTTTAAGTTAATTAATTATCTAACTTTTTTCTAATTTAATTTTATTATTTTATTGATTTCAATATTTCTTAATTATTATTAAAATTTAATTTATTCTATTAATTATGAGTTTTAATATATATATTTAAAGATATTTTGTTAATTTATTTTAATTTTTTAAATAACGTCTTAATTCTTAAATAATTTATTTTTAAATTTAATTAATTTTATATTTTTTTAAATTTTTTTCTGAATTTCACAAATAAAATTCAGAGACTGTTACACTTGAAAGAAAATAATAATAATAATAAAACACTACCTGTACAAAACATATATATATATATATATATAAGAGGTGTACAAAAAAAGACATGAAAAAAAAAAAAAGAGTAAAACCTTAAATCAGTATATATCTGTATATAACTATTAATATTAATTATTTTTTCAACTTGTTTTATTATAAAATATAGTAATTAAAATTTAATTGAGTAAAAATGTAATTTTTTAAATTTTAATTTGCCCTAAACGAAAAACTGAATAAAGCGAATAAGTATATTTGGACATCATTAATTTGATTTACTCTCTTTCTGTCAAATTTTGTTAATCTCTATATAAAATGTTTTTTTACTTTTATTTATAAGTTTAGTATGTTTGCGCATCATTTGTTTATTGAAGTATGTAAAAAGGACAGTATATTTAGGAAATAATTAAAGTACGTTTTAAAATTCTCTATTATTATTATTATTATTTTTATAATTTATCTTTTCATTCTTCAGTAATTCATGTGATTCTGTGAATAAAACAAATATATATATATATGTATATATAATATTTTAGAAAATAATATTAGGAGATGGTGTCGTTCGAGTCTCTCATTGGAAGGAGCTCGCAAGCAGGTGGGCAATGAAATTTAACCAAGGTTTTTGTTTATGATAGATTTAAAATTTTTGTGGATTTTATTTACAATTTTATACAAATATTTTTAACTAAAAATGATAAAAGTCATATTTAAAATAATAAAAAGTGATATCCAAGAAAATTAGTACATTTCAATTTCTATTAAATTTAATGAAATTTGAAAATTAATTTTCTATAAATACTAAGATTTTTTATCAACATGTTTTAATTTACAAATGATTTTTTTTTTAAATCTAAATTTGTTTAAAATTTTAAAAAAAAAAAAAAGTAATCATCCCATCTGTTTCAGTGAGGTCGAATTTTGAATCGAGCAGTGTTCGAGGTGGTATGGGTATCGCCTTTTTCGCATGATGTCGCATGATGTACAGAGATCAACAGTTTGACAACAAAACTACAAAATATTTGTCGTATTAGGTCCCAGTCTTAATGCATTAGGTACACCTTCGGAGCAGAGAATCATTATCTCCCCCCTTCACTTATTTTATTTCGTGGACCTTCGGTGGCTTATATCTCAATCTCGACCGAAAGCGGACCCCACTTCCCGCACTTGGATGCCGGATCTAGGTACGTATCAGGTACGATGAAAATCACGTTAGTCCTACGTCGTGTCAAATTTTGATTGGGGGACTAAGATGTATTTCCACTTTTCCTTGTTTTAACCAATCAGAATCTGCGCTACATAAAAGTTGACCGAACAGAAATATCCACATCATTTTCCTCGGTAAGAAATATCCACAAAAGATTATTACCAAATGGTTTTCGACTAACATGCAACCTGTAAGGACGCGTGAATTCAAAACCAGGGGTATTTATGTAAATTAACACCACATTAATAGAGAAGTTATATAGTCATCCTCCATCCACGTCAACGATCCGCGTATATGAATTCTACACCTGTTTCAGCCGTTGGATTGTAACCCAAACTCGAAACCCCAACCGTCCGATGTGCCTCCAACCCCCAAATAATCCCCTTTTTCCCTCGATCCCACCTAAGGGCTTGAAGACAGAATCCCTCATCACACACTCCATAGCAAGCTCTCTTCACTTCCTCCTCTCTTTTGCTTTTCTTCTTCTTCTTCTTCTTCTTCTTTATTATTGTTTCTTTTGTCTGAATCTCTGCAATTTTGGCTTCCATGGCGACCGAAGACTCTAATACTCAGTCTCCTCCATCGCCTCCTCTTCAGCAGCAACAGCTACCCATCTTTCCTCAATACCCCGAGGTACCAAGAAAATCACTCCGTGTTGGAAGTTTAGCCAGCTGATTTTAGTACATTTGCAATTTTCATTTACGGAGCTGATAGGCGTGTATAATTTGGTTGAGTAAATTATGTTTTGGTTTGTGCAGATGATTATGGCGGCGGTCGAGGCGTTGAACGACCCGAACGGCTCAAGCAAGACAGCAATTGCGAAGCACATGGAAGCGGTGCACCCGGATCTACCAGCTGCTCACTCCACGCTGCTCGCTCACCACCTCCATAAGATGAAGCAAAGTGGCCAGCTCGTCATGGTCAAGAACAATTACATGAAACCCGACCCAAATGCGCCGCCGAAGAGAGGCCGCGGTCGTCCTCCCAAGCCAAAGGAGCCGTTACCACCAGGAGCTGTGATCTCACCTCCGAGGCCTCGTGGGCGCCCGCCCAAGCCGAGGGATCCTCTGGCGCCACCGGCACTACCCAAGAAAAGCTCAGGCGGGACTGGGAAGCCGCGCGGGCGACCACCTAAGAAGATGAAGACTGACCAGGTTCCGGCTCCGACGACCGGGTCAACCAGAGGAAGGGGTAGGCCGCCGAAGGTGAAGCCGGCTGTGGCGCCAGTTGGTTGTTGATTGCAGCTCCGTTCAGCTCAGAATAGAGAAAGAAGAGAGAGAAGGGGGAGTTAGGTTTTTAGGCGTTAGATTACTAATCGAAGGCTTAGCTTTCTTTAGTGCTTTTTCTTTTTTAATTTATAACTTTAAAAAAAAAAAAGAAAGAAAAGATGTTCTAGCTTCATAAATGAATATCTTTATCTTTCTATTTTTTTTATTTCTTTTTTTTTTTTCTTAAATTTCGTGGGTGAATGTTGTAAGGAGGGGTTTGCTAATGTGCCGGGTTGGTGATTGTAATTTGCATATGTAAAAAATTGCTCAACGACTGTTTAGGCTCTTTAGCCTCTTAAATCTCCCTCTTAAAACTGACTCTTGTCATCACTTTTTAACCTTTGCTTTTTTTTTTTTTTTTTTATAACCTCAACTGTAATCTTTTTTAATCAGTAAATTTTAATAAATAAACAAAAAAAGAAAGAAAAAAAAAACAAATGGGGTATGCTTTATTTATTTTTTTCTCTTTTTGACCTTTTTATTTTTACGATCAGTTAAAAATAATGTGATCAAGCCGAAGGTTAAAACAGTAAAAAAGATAACTTTTTTGAAAAGAAAAAGGAATTTAAAGTTGAAGTGTAATAAATAAGATTTTGGTTATTTCAATTTAATTTTCTAATGCTTTACAGCTACAGGAATCATGAACATATTATATGAGTTTTTTGATATGCATGGTTTAGACATAGAAAAGCGCGCCCAAAATTCTCAATTTGAAGTTGAAATTGAAATTTTTGGAATTAAAATTTTGAAGTAAGAAATAGTTGGAAATGAAATTTTCAAACTATTTTGGCGGGGTTTGAATAGTTTGTAGCTTTCTAGTAAGTTTACTCTTGGTTGTCTTTACTTTTTTGTTTCCTTTTATTCAACTACTTTAAGGATATTATACTTTAATTTTTATATTTAAAAATAACTTAAAACATTGTTTTATTATGTAACATCTTACTCATAACTGTGCTTAAATAATTTGAAAACCCTATTTATTCGGATATTTAGTCACGTTAAACTTAATTAATTTATACTGCTCAGTATTTATCGTATTTCGTAATTTTGATTGATTTTATTTTATTTAATCTTATTTAATTTTAAGTCAAAATCATTTACATTAAATAAAAAAATTGAGAAAAAATCATAAAACCAAATTGGGAAGAAAATTCAGCATAAAAAATCCCGCGATGAGTCAAGTTGCTCGTGCGGGTGCTAGGTCCTGTGCGCGCGTGCATATGCGCACGTAGCCGCGGGACATGTACACAATATACACGTCTCATTCACACGCACACACGCACGGGACATGCGCTGGTCCCTTCCACACGGACGACATAGGGTCAGGACCTGCGCGCATTTTGTCGTGCGCAGGCAGGCCGTCTTCGCAGCAGGCCTACACGGATATGCCCTTTGCACTTGGGGCTTTCACGCTGCAGGCTAGCCCTTGTGCATGCGACAGGACGCCTATGCGCTTGAAGGCTACCCTACAGCGCACCAGCCGAGGCACTGCCACCTCAGGCAGTGCGCCGCTACTGCCTCGAGCAGCACACCATCGTCCGCGGTGGAGGCCCTCCTCCCTCGTTTTTCGTGTCGAGCATTTTTTTTACCTCTCTCTTCATCGAATTTTACCACTTGCCTCAAATCCGACGGTTCTAAAACTTTATAAATTGTCATTCCCCTTCCCTTTATCTCCACACTTCTGTTCTTTTAAAGAAGAACGGTGAAGGAAAAAACATCAAAGTTTCATATTTTCAAATGTTGTGCTACTCATTACGCTTCTTGACGAGCTCTAAGTTTTCTCAAATTTTTTCTACAGAAATTAAAATACTCGTCACGTACCTAAAAATACTTCAAAAATCTAAAATCAGTGTTGAAAATCCTTTTTGACAAAATTTAAGGTTTTGGCACGGCACCGCCGTCGTGCTCCAGTGCCAGCTTCGTCACCTACGGCAGCGGTTCGCCTTGACCTAGCCAATTTTTACCGATTTTGGCTTATTTTAAGCAGTTTTACACATATTTCTATAAAAAAATAATTTATGAAGTCTCGGTTGGCGTGAAAAATAAAAAAACTGAACCTAACGGTGTGGGGTCTCTGAGTGCAGTGGCTCATTTGGTTCTCCTTCGTGACCAAGGTTTCTTCCTTGGTTAACCTGCACATAAAGGGATGATGAATACAATGATAAAAAAATCATGTAAAATGAGAAACGAAAAAGGGGTCATCGGAAAAGGTTTAGGGTTTTGGCCGCGACGGGTTCGCTGGACTTTACCCACAATATTTGGCTCATCTGTCGATCCTTTGGCTCTGATATAGCAACAAGGAGACTCGGGATTGATTTTCAAGCGGGAAGGAAAAATTTTTTACCTTTCTCAGCAGTCGGCGGTGGCTCCAGTGCAACGGCAGCGGTGTCCCTCCAGCGGCTAGTCTTCTCTCTTGCCACTTCCTTCTTCTTCTTCTCCAACTGGGTGTTAGCTAGGGTTTGGGGCCGACTAAAGAGATGTTTAAATACCTTTCTTCCTTCTAATCTGAGATGTCCATCTGCATCACTTTAGAGCGAGGAGATTTGTTCGATCGTTACCTATTTAGACCGATTGCATGAACGAATTTAAGCAGTTTATCACGATTGATCTCGTCCATCCGATCGCATCTAAAAAGAGAATGCATCTGAGTCGTTCTTGCACGCGAGAAGTGATCGAGGCCCCCGGATTACCAAGCACGCAGATCGCCTGCGTGGCCTCCCGCATGGCACGGATGTCAGTATTTTTTGCCACATGGCGTGCTCTGGTTCACCGTGACTACTGACAGGACCGTCCCACGAGGCTAAATTTTTATTTTTTGTGATTTTACCCCCTGTTTTCAAGTTTTTTTTTCAAAAAATACCTCCTAATTCAAAATTTCACCCATTTTCCCCAATTGTTTTTAATTTCGTCCATATTTCATTTTTTTTTGAAAAATTTAATAGAAAATAGAATAAAATAAAATATATTTATATTTATGTATATTATATAAGTTTAAAAAATTTATCCTGAGGCAAATTTCGAGTACAAGTGTTACAATTCTCCCCTGCTTAAGAAAAAAATTTGATCCCTCAAATTTGTTACTCTCTTACTAATCAAATAGTTGGGGGTACTGGGCTTTGAAATTCGATTTTAGCTCCCAAGTGGCCTCTTCCTTTCCATGATTCTGCCATACGATCTTGACGGAAGAAATTTTCCTGTTGCAAAGTACTCTACTCTTCCGGTCCACAATGCCTAATGGTACCTCCTCATAGAATAAATCATCTTGGATTGAAAGGGGCTCGTGAGACAGAAAATGCGAGGGGTCCGAGTTGTACATATGTAGCATAGACGCATGAAACACATTATGAACTATGGGTAGCTCTGGAGGTAATGCTAGTCTATCGGTGGATGCACTAATCATGTCAAAGATTTCAAACGATTCAATGAATCGGGAATTTATTTTTTCTCTCTTCCCAAACCTGCTGATTCCCTTGAAATGAGTGATCTTGAGAAACACCGGATCACTTTTATTAAATTTTAAATCTCTCCTCCGGGCGGCAGCATAACTTTTCTGTTTGCTTTGAGTTGTCTGATGTTCTTCCTGATTTTAACTTTCTTGGTTGTAGTCTCCTCTACAAGATTCGGGCCAAATAAGTTTCTATCACCCACATCTTCCTAATAAATCGGTAACTTATAGGGGGGACATACATTGCCTCGTATGGGGCCATGCCAATACTTCTTAGTAGCTGTTATCGTAGGCGAACTCTATCAAGAGTTGATGATTGTTCCAATGGCCTCTGAACTCTAGAACACAAGCTCGGAGCATATCCTCTAGTGTACAAATTGTTCGTTCTGATAGTCAATCGGTTTGAGGATGGAATGCGGTGCTAAGGGACAATTTCGTTCTCATGGCTTGCTAAAAACTAGACCAAAATCGAGAAGTGAACCTGAGATCTCTGTTGGATACCACTGTCACCAGGATTCTCTGTAACCTGACTATCTTTCATATATAGATTATTGCTAGCTTATCTAAGGGGTTGGTTAGCTTGATAGCCAATAAGTGAGATGACTTAGTGAGTCGGCCAATAATTACCTAGATAACATTATGTCCTGAGTGTACCTTAGGCAATCTTGTCACGAAGTCTATGGTGATATGTTCTCATTTTTATTCCAGGATCGA